GAGTTTTTCACCAAATTATCAACCAGTATCGTGCCGCAAACACCGTATTTATCTAATTAAGAATCKCTACGCGCAATGAAGGCTATTCCGGAAATTTACTTTRACAATTGYTACGAGGATTTAAAAAACGTTGGCACAAGTTTATTGGGCCCAATATTGATTACATTCAGGGATAAATTGASAATTTTAAAATTATGAACTTACTTGCAACACGTTGCCACACAGTGTAATAGTTTTGTTTGTATCGAGATAGATAAAGGTACCAACATACATATAAATGATTAGGACGTGACGAATTGAATTCGGAATGACTGTCTGTTTGTCCGTCTGTCTGTCTGTGTAAACTGTAATTTGAGTAAAAATTGAGATATGGTAGTGAAACTTGTTATATGTGTAGATGGGTGTAAATGGACCACTGCCACGCTAAAAAACGCCATTAAAATAWAATGTAGCATGTTGGTGTTTTCGTAGCGGCAGAATTCTGCCGAGTTGACTGTCCTTGACCGGATAAAAAATTCGGCTTCGTCCCRGTTACGTACACCCGACTGTCGTGGGAAAGCAATATGTGGCATGTTAATAGTATGTGGTATTGGCAAAAATATATAAAATCGGGTCGATACTACCCCAACTCCCATATACTAGCTCTTACAAGTTGTATACCGAAATGTAAGTCAATGAGTAATATTTATATATAAACTTGATTCAAAATGTGTTCTCGAGTATACCTGAGCAATGCCAAAATAACTGCAACGGAATATTTCTGTCCCCAATATGCCCCAAAAAATAGTTTCATCGTAACCGGTTTTTGACTCATAGTTTCTTAGGCAAAGTTGTTTCGAATTATCCGCATATAAATTTTTTGGTTTTAAAGCATTATTTTACAACCTACTATGTACATACAGTGTAAAGCAAAAGTCTTGATACCCTAYCACTTCGAAGATATTTCATAAAATATAACACAGAATTCCTTGAATATTTCTATTTACTAATTAAAATTAAATAAATGCATCTTTTCTCATTTGAAAAATATAAAAAATTTTATTAAAATGTATTTCATTATTTAAAAAAAAAATAAAAAAAAACCAAGGATATTCTAAAATTCGCACAGCAAAAGTGTTGATACTCCTGCAAAAAAGAAGGAACTGTATAAAAAAACTTAATAATAAGTTGACCAAAAATACCTTTAATACCTACTGGGGTAGCCTCGTAATCGAATAACTTCTTTTAATCGGTCAGGCATGGAGTGAATCAATTTCTTTGTGTAATCTGAACTGATATTTTGCCATTCAACTTGGAGCAAGCTTTTAGTTGATTTTTTGAAGTAATATGGTGTTTCCTTAAGCGTTTTTGTAAATGATCCCATAAATGCTCGATGGGATTGAGATCTGGACTTTGTTGAGGTGTTAATAACAAATGGGGTACCCTGTGTATTAACCACATCTTCACTATGTGTGCAGTATGTTTGGGATCGTTGTCCTGCTGAAAATAAAATCCGCCAGACAATCCCAATTTTTCCGYACTTTGTAATACATTTTCTTGAAGAACTTTCAAACATACGATGACACCTCCACCATGCTTGACCGTCTTAATTGTATTTTTTGGGTTTAACTCTTCGTTTGGTTTCCTCCACACTTTAAGTCCACACTTTAAGTCGTAAATATTATATTTTCATTCGCCAGAAAAAATAATATTATCCCAGAAGTCAAATTCTTTGAGTTTATATGTTTTTGCAAAATCCAGCCGTTTATTYCTATTGACGTCACTGACAAAGGGCTTTTTTCTAGCAATGCATGACTTAAATCCATTTCTATTTATTGATCTGCGCACTGTATCCGATGAAACAATGGTATTTAAAGATGTTTCCAATACAGTTGCTATATTCGGAGCACTTTCGAATGGATTTTTCTCCATTGTTCTCTTGATAAATCTTTCATCTCTCTCATTAAGCTTCCTAGGGCGTCCTGATCTGTGCTTATTTTCGACCCTTTTCTCCTTTTTGAAACGTTGTATTAYYTTTTGGACCRTYGCCTTACTTCTGCCGATGTATTTTCCGATTTCGGCATATGATTTACCATCTTTATGCATACGTACCACAATTTTTCTCYCWTCTAATGTCAATTCTTTTCGACACATGATTGTACRCGAAAAATATTTTACTTCGATGCGAATAAATGAACGAATGAAGTTATACTGAAWWTGGTCTGCAAACAATATGTTTTTCCAACACATTACAAGTCAAATGTACCATTATTCTGCGCGCTAGCTACAACGGGACTCGACCGTATCAACACTTTTGCTGTACCAATTTATTACTTACAGTTACATTTTTGACTACCGTTATTGATGCAGCAGCCAAATTTTGCTGTTTCGTTTCGATTATGAATGAGTACAATGTGGATTTTTAAATTATTGCCAAAGTTGCCTAAACTATTTAAACTTGTTGGAAATATCTCAATAATAAACTGAGAAATGAAAGGGTATAAAGACTTATGCTCTATACCGTATGTCTGTAACTGTTTACTACTTTTTGTAATTTTTTCTTTGCATTAAATAACCATTTAATATTGTAGAAAACTGCAACTTTCTACTTCCTTAACTGTGTACCATCTTACCTACATACATAGACAACTATTGTCCCTGAATGGGCCAAATGTCGTCCGTATGAATATTTAATTATATATTCTCACAAGTAAATATGTATGTAGTATATGCATGTATATATGACTACCAAGGCATAAATACCGTTCCGTTGGTCTAACAACATATTTATAGTATATACAAACATATACATACGTACGTATATATGTATATATGTATGTATGTAACGGTGTATACGTTTCCTTTCTGTGGGCACGATTAGACTCTAGTTATARATGCATCCATTTCCAATTCAGTGATAACTTTTGAAGACTGTGCGTTTTCACCTCAATTGCTCTGAATATCCAACCGACATGCGACGTTATCTTTCGTTTGTCAGTTCCTTTTTCTGACCAAAGATAACGTACTCTGTAATTGCTGATTAGATTGCTATAGCATTATCCTGTGAAAATAACACATGAACCCTCGCGCTTCCATCAAAAACAAAAATAGAAGAAAAAGAAAGATCACCACATATTTGTATGTATGCGCACATAGTATGTAATGTATGAGTGTAAGACATCCGAACGATTTTTTCACTAAACATTTCTCTACCAAACGTAGTAGAAATATGTTTGTATGCTTTGCCATATTGTATATGCACATGTATATGTACATACATTCTTAAGTGCATAGTTATGCATTGGGGAGTGTTCGGTAATAGCAGCAGGATCGCGAAGTAACCGTGCGACGTTTGACAACCCCTCTTTGCGCTCAAGGTGTTCACGCATGCGCAACTGCTCAAAAAGAAGACAACGTCTGTGAGTGTATATGTATGGTGTATATATAGGTATTCGGTGTGTGAGCGCAGATGCCTAATTTTATTCAAGTCACAGTCTCGCCTGCACACCCTTCCCAAGAAGTTTTCTACTGTTTGCATTTTCTCTTCGTTCCTTGATGTGCGGCGTCTTTTCGCTGTTCAGAGGTGCAGTCAGATAATTTATTTCCTTTACAAAATTTAACCTTTTCTGAAATTTCCCTCCCTGTCTCTATATCTTGGGTTGCTGAAACTCAATTTTGCCCGAGTAGTGCCTGTTTAAGATTTTACTTTTGTTAATTTGAAAAACTACAAATACATAACTACAAATCTCTTCGTTTCCCACATTACCTCTTGTTGGTGTTAAGTTTAAATATTTGAGCACAATTTTCTCTTATATTTTTTTTTAGTCTTCTTTGTTGCTTCTTGTATTTTGCTGTTGTATAATGCACACATCTGCTGATATTTGCATGAAGTTTTCTTAACAATCCAGCGATCCAATCATGTTAAGTATTATTAGGAACAATTTATAATACTAATATAATATACGTCATTTGCAATATTGCGTTTTCTAAACCTATAAATTGAACCCAAACTGGTCGAGARGCGAGTATTTAAACTGTCGCAAAGACTATAAAAATAAATAAATATAAAATTTTGACGTTTTTCAATGCGTTGCTTATTAATTTTTATTAAAATAACGATTTTCGTTTTCAGTTTTCAAAATTAAATAAGTTAAAACAACAAAAACATTTATGGTTTAAAAATTAACTGGACAAAACTAAAGTATCCCTTTCATCGGTTTGAAAATAATATCTGAAAATTAAAAAAATAGTAGCACAAATATCTTTACAAAATCTTTCAATAACATTTGTAACGGTTCATTGCTAACATCTTCAACGAATAATGTACTTTTACAGTAGCGTGGTACTATTTTTTTGTAGCCGTAAAATGTTTTTATAGGCCAAATAATTGTGCAGAAACTTTAGTCATATGACATTCATATGTTTGTTTTATAAGTCACCCTTATCAGCGTTAGGTCATCCTCAGCAGCTGCTGCTTTGTGCCTTCTTAAGAAGATATTGTTGCTGCTGACTTCTTTGTCAGATTTTTTCTTACAAATGTGCATATGTATATGTACATATATTTAAACTGTCGCAAATCTTTACAGTGTCAAATAGGTTTCTATTTGGTGCACATAGTACTAAGTAAAGGCAGAATTGCATATAAATAGGAACAAATGTACTCTTTAACAATTGTTTCTAAAATTCAACAAAACATAGTTTTATTAACACCGTCCATTTTTTGTAATTCATACTCCCTTGACAAATTGTTCGCGAAAAGTAAGTCTTCTATAATTTTAAAGATCATTTACTTTTTCTATAGAAGGTTATGATAATCTGTCTTACTGATTTTGAAAAAAATTTTAAGGAAAAACAATCGTGCAAATGAATTATTGTAAAAGAGAAACSTAGATTATAATATAGTATTCTAACGTACGCAACCTTGACATATTTTATTTAACCGCTAGACTAAGTATTTAGGTAGAGGTTTAAAGAAAATCGCATTATCTCGTTCGCTCCTCCAAGAATTCCAAACAAGTAACTGGTGATCAGAATTGTTTGTGTGATTTACCTGGACTTTACCTTGGTGCATCTCCTGTGCGACAAAAAATTAACGATTAAAATCGAACAAAGAAATAACTCAAAATCAACAGAAACACTTATACAAAAGAAAATGTGTAGTCTTTTTTGGCTTTCGCTGTCAGATCCTTATTTAATCGAACTACCTAAATCCATTTATATACATATGTACATATATTAACCAGCATAGATACCCACACATGTATTATACGTACATCTTACGGCTGTCTACTGAGACCCCGCAGCTTATGTATAATACATATATCGCYTTTGGGCATAATATCCTCAATTTTCTTCGCTTTTATTTCTTACACWCTCACAAACTGRCATGCCTGTGATGTTTTCGTATGCGTTAGAAGGAGAGCAAAACAATTTCGACTGAGTATCCTTCCGCTGCAGGCAAAAACGAATGCAGCCTGTTAACGTACAAGCAACTCTCATTGCAGCTGTCTATTTGCTGCGCTACCGTTGCACACAGGACGTAACGTCAACGATCGCTGCACACGATCAGTTTAACCAGGAAAGTCAATGCGTACGCAACTTGTGCTCATTTGAATATTACTCCCTGTTTTCAGTGAAAAGAGCTAGAGCTTCCCTACTCTRTTTTAAGCTTGATAAAAGAATGGGAATTAAATACCCTTACAATTATTGAAGCAACTAATGTAATGATAGAAACCAGAGGAAACGTGAAGTGAAACAGTGCAGTACAAACCAGCTACACCAAAGAAGCATTTTGAAACCAAATATAATACATATGATTATAAATATTCTGATAATTTAAGAAAATTTGAAATGAACCAGGAATTATACAGATTTTTGTTTGCCCAAATATATTGTGTTTTCGTAGTGAATATTGATTGATTGATATTGTTCATTTGTGCGGGCTGATGCGAAACTTTTTAACCCACGTTATATGAGAAAAGGATTTCCCCAAACCAAAACTGTTATTGTTGCTGTTGTTGTTATTGTTATTGTTTTTGCGGTGTATATCATATTTAAAGAGGATCTTGCAGCTAGTTCGTTTTGAACTGAGTTTATGTGATTATGAAGTGGGAGCGCAAGAGAAAACTGGTTGATATGGTATAGTTAAAAAGTTAAAAAGAAAAATGTTTTACAAGTTGAAATATAAAGTGAGGATAAGAACTAAAACCCATACAAACCACTCTAAATATTATGTTAATCACGCTTAATTTTTTACGCTTGTGTTGAACATTTTTTTGAGTATCAAACTATAAATAAAATTTTAACATATTTTTCTTATGTATTCCAGGATCCCGACCTAGGTTGCGATTTACCGACGGCTAAGCGTAAGCAAACGCTACCCTCGCCATATACAAGTGATGTAAGTTCTGTGGCATCATCGGTGTATCCATCGCCAATTGATGTGTTCTCTCATGAAATCGACACGCGCAGTTCTTGCGACTACCTCTCAGCCGGAACCGACTTTGAGGCCACTGCGGATTGCATACCCGACAGTCCAAGCAGTTTACGGCCAGACGATGAAGTCATCGACGTGGAGGATGACGAAATTGTATCTGCAACGACATCACCATCTTCGGAATGTTCAACCAGTTGTTTCAAAGATGCGCATCATTTATATAAAATGCACGCCGTCGCCCAATTAGGAGAACGTACCCCTGGCCAAATTACTGAAAACACAGATAAAATTGTCGAAACAAATTTGGTTAAGGTATACGACGATGACTATACAGGTACACCATATAATTGTATGACACCGGCAGCGGAACCAGAAGAGTTGCGACAATGTCCCTTACCTGCATTAAGTTGGGCAAATGCATATGATGTTTGGCAATTGATGTGCAAAAAGGATCAACAAGCAGCCTGTTTACGCTCAGGTTCAATGTTGGAACGACATCCCAGCTTACAGCCGCGTATGCGTGCTATCCTGCTTGATTGGTTGATTGAGGTTTGCGAGGTATACAAACTACATCGCGAAACCTACTACTTGGCAGTGGACTACTTGGACCGCTATCTAAGTACGCAAAAGAATGTACAGAAAACTCATCTGCAGCTGATTGGCATTACTTGTCTTTTTGTCGCAGCGAAAGTTGAAGAAATATACCCGCCCAAAATTGGTGAATTCGCCTATGTGACGGATGGCGCATGCCAGGAATCAGATATATTGCAACATGAAGTGCTTCTACTGCAAACGCTCGATTGGAGTATAAATCCGGTTACACCAATGGGGTGGTTAGGTGTTTATATGCAATTAAATGTGAATAACCGTACTCCGGCGTCGTTTAAGCGTAACACATACAAAGCCAAATCRACGGCGACAACAGACGAGGCATATAAGAACGATGCCTTTATTTACCCGCAATTTTCAGGAATGGAATTTGTACAAACTGCTCAATTATTGGACCTATGCTCACTGGATTTAGGTATTGCCGACTATGGTTATTCCATTATTGCTGCAGCGGCCATGAGTCACACTTTTAATAGGTATATTTAGATTATGACTTTATTTAGAACAAACTATTATACGCATTGAATATTATTTTAATTATAGAGAGATAGCGTTGCGTTGTTCGGGATTCGATTGGCAAACGATTGAGCCATGCGCGCGCTGGATGCGACCTTTTTTCGAAGTTATACGCGAAGAGTCTACTTACCTGCCCATGTCGGAACAAAATGAACAATTCACAAATCGTTTCGGYTTAGGTCATATATGCCCCAATATTATAACCGACGACTCGCATATAATACAAACTCACACAATATCAATGGGAATGTTTGTAAGTATTGTAAATGAAATTATGTGTAATTTTAAAATTTTTATCTAAGCGAGTTAATTCAATAATTTTTTTGTAACTTTCAGGATCGCACTGCACAATTACAGGAGATTGCTTTGACAACTAAAAACCGTACAGAGGCGTCTCCAGCTACTGGTTTATTATGCCCAGATGGTTTGTTGACGCCTCCGGCGTCAAGTCGAAAACCGGTTGATGTGACAGATGTCGACGAAGATCCTGATCCAACTTCCATTCAACGGATAAGCACGAAAGTTAAAACATGTAAAAACTCTTTAACCAAATCTACAAACTCAGCAGTTGAAGTTGCAGTTAGTGCAGAAAAAAATGTGCTCACGTAAACCTCAAGTAAAATAATACATAGTATATACAGAAATACCCTTATAAACAATCTAATCAAGTAAATTATTCAAAATATTATAAATACCATATATTATACGTTTAAACGTTTAGCAAAATTAAATTTAATTTAGTCATTAATGTAGTAGTCAAATAAAAAAATAATAATTTTAATGTTTATAAGGCTTATGTTTAAACAACTAAAATAACATGTAAATAATAATTATATTAAAACACATGAAAGTAAGTTAATTTGCGAGCTGTTGATAATTTTAGGGATAACTTTGCTTGCAACATTTTTAGAGGAAATGATTAATGTGCCGTTTTAAGGTGTTATTGTTCAAAGTAGTTAAATGCTACAAACTTATGGTGCAAAGCAATTTGTTTTTTTTTTTTAATTGTAGTTAAATATAAAAACATCCTAAGTGAATCATCGCATTTCAAAAAATCACTCGTGAATAACAATAAAAAATAACATATACTAGCATTTCATCGCTTTATATATATTAATTTCAGGCCAACATTTCTATTACTCGTACTAACACACTAACATAGTTTGTCATAAGTTGAGGGACACTCATTTCATCGCCTTCACCAATGACTTATGGTGATACACTCATTTATATATATGTATGCATTTTTTAAGCAAATGTTTTATTATACGAACGCTATCCAAAAAGGTGCATATCTTATAACAACATAGTCATAATTTTAGTGAAACATTCCAAAAATAGCATTCGGTGAGAGATTTGAAATTTTTCATGTTATATTTTCGCTTCATATTTCAAAATCATACTTATAAAAACACCTTTTCAAAGTTATATCCTACATAGTTGATATTATGCAAAAATATTTTGTAAATCTACACAAGCTAATAAAAGTGCATAAAAAAGGCTCAAATAAAACTCTGAACTGAACTGTTAAAGTTTATAACAGTATCCGCTAATAGAAAAATATTTGTTTAAAATTTTAGGGAACAGAGAATGATGAAAGGTGAACATTTTTTTTTAATATTTCTCCTTCTCGTATAATATATTGTTTAAGAACAACAAATGAATTAAAAAAAATCGTTGATACACGCTGTCTATCATCAGGCTCTCGCTTTCCGGAGTATACCAAATCTGTTGAAGGGTTAAACAAAACATATTCGTTGCATCAATTTKTTGCATGAAATCTATGCATGTAAATAGAAAAAAATAAATTTAATCAAATAGTTTTTAAGATATAATTTGTATATATATTTTTTTAAGCTAAGATAAAAAAAATCTACAAAAATTTATTATTTGCTTAACATCTCATTCTGTGCGCTTTATCCATTTATGGTATATGTATGTATATATACATATAATACATACATACGTTTCTGGATTTTTGTTTATTTAACTAATGGACTCTGATATTTATTTTTTTTCACATGAAATCACATTTAAAAACAGAAATGAAACATTTTTGTGTACCTATGTAAAAATACAAAATATATATTTTAATTCAAAATATTACAAATAAGCATATAGTTTAAGTAAATCCTTGTTTACGCTTTTCGCATTTTAATGTTTTAAAAAAAAACAAAAAAGAATACAAACGTTAAATAAAAAGTACTAATTTTTTAAATACAAAGTTGAAATTTTTTACACATGGAATCCTAAAMATACGTGGTTTCAGCTCACGCAAGTGCACCTGCCAGTTCGTTTTCCTATGATTCCTGAAATTGTTGACTCMGTCCATACTTTCTTCAATTATACTTTCAATGTATCGGTGATCCAAAATAGAGTGTTCCTCAAGGACAAGTCATTTAATTTACCAGGAATGTAATATATTATATAAAATTTATTGTCGGTTTCTTGTGATAAACGTTGACTTGCTACATCTGTTGCACAACAGATTGTTTAATATGTTATTAAAGAGACACTCACCTGTCCCATGTATTATGTGTTGGTTGTTTGAGTCACATCCAAGTATCATCATGCACTTGGATGCCTCGCTGTTTCGTACCAACTCTTTTACTAGTTGTAATGGTATATGCTCCTYATCGTATGGCATAGAGCTAGAAAGCAGCCGGTACCAACATGCGCTGTCTCCCAGCTTATCGCTACTGTGTGGTGGTCGCTATAAGGTTGTAACACAAAAACGTTAAGGTTTTTCTTTGCCAATGTACAAGCCCTAATTTATAACTTTAAGTTCGGTGCAGTACGCACGCCATTGAGTCATGACTCCTGATTGGAGACAAAATCAGGCTGTTCTATTGCCACGCAGTTAATCAGGGCTCCCTTTCAGTATAAAGTTTTGAGACTCTGTGTGCAAGCTAAGATCCCGAAATTCACTGGCCTTGTTCTGTACTTTCTACACCACTACTAGGATCTTCCTCGATCCTGACCTTCGAGAATCAGTAACTTATCTCCTCGCCACTTTTCGCCAGCGGCACAATAGATTCCTGTGTACGCAGTAATAGAGTCTGCAATGTTTCCATTTTGGTCTCCACGCCAGTTTCTGCTGCGAATTTCCACCCCTTAGTAGGCAGATTTGGAGTATAGACTCTAATGAGCTGCGTTATCTGGTCCGGCTGCGATGGTGTAACCAGGATCCGGACCGTTGGATTTGGCCAAGGCGGGATGTCCTTTTTTCTGTACCGCTACCAGTTTATTTCCGGGATGTAGAGGAAGTATGGCTGTTTGTATAGCGCGACCGATATTCCGTCGTTTTATAGCTGAGCTTGATTGCTCACCTCAACGTTTGCACCCATTTCCATTGGGCTCTAGAGATTTTTCTCCAATATATCCCCAATAAAGCACACCAAAGATAAAGCGGTTCCACATCAACCAACGATTTTGATTGCGTTACTCCCTTCGCCTTCAGGCTCTTGGCTAAAGGCCTCGGTTGCCACTACTGGCGRTAGATCTAAAAATTAGGKAAGATTGTTTTCACGCAATCAGTGCATTCTTGGAGCTCTTTTGTGAGCTTCTWATTAGTTGCCGGTTGCAGTTGCACTCTTCTCAACAGGTAGGCCATTATCTGGCAGACGCATTACAAACAGCGATTATACTTTGGCCTTCGGGTTTRGCTTCGGTTACCGCTGGTATTATTGCCATTCGGGAGCTGGAATAACTTTTAGCCCCTTGCGTTGCAAAGGGCTCTTTTCGAAACTAGTTCAATCCTGCTTTTTCATGAGAATCCAGAATATTTAAATTTTTTTTTGGTTTTTGAATTTCGGTTCATGTTCTCTACCCACGAGTTTAGGGGAATATAAATCCGCTGGCGCATAGCCCCGCTACGCCGGGTAGGCAAACGTAAGCTTCGTTCGGGACTGCGCTATTTAAGGGCCCCCAGTCAGGTTGATTCTCGGGACAGCCAGACCTTAGCTATATACCTCTTAACGGCAACAGAGGCTAAATGTTACCAGCTCGTTATGCCTTGGTCGGGACAYTGTGGATATTTCAATACAAACTTTTGGTAGATCTCAATAGCTGGCGCGCTGGATATCTATATATATACTCAGTGGCGTAGCTACCTAGTGGATAGGCGAATCCCTCGAATATTGTACCTACCAGAAATCTCGTTTGAACTGAACTTTAGGAAAATTTTCCCATTTTCAAAATAAATATGACAAGTTGCAACCCTATTTTAATCATGACAACTCAGTTGAGAGAAACTAAATTCGTTCTGTASGTTGGCAGTATTATCTATTTGAAGAATAGCGATATGTACGTTTTATTGTTCGTCGAAGTGCGTTTTGAATTGTGAATTCGAGTTAAGATTTTTTTTTCGTGAACGGCTAAAAAATTAATATTTAGGAGTAAGTAAGCTAATGTCAATAAAGTGTTTTGTACTGGTTAATATATGGTTAAACTTTATTTGATGTTTCTTATTATAATGGTGTCCGTTAAATTGTGTCAAATTATTATTATCAAATTATAATTGTGTAATATCGTTAAAAAATCCAAGCAGGTATATTAATTCAGGTTCCTGAACCGAAGATTGTTCATGGTCTCCATCGCTACATGTGATAACACTAACGTTGATAATTTTTTCTGGAGATTCCCCAACGATACATGTAGCGCATCATTGTGTTTGTCTTTCCTTTTATTTTAGTTTTAAAGTCGTCAGAGAACACTGAGTACCTACCTACTCGAGCACAATCTAATATTGTATTGTTTAAATAAATTAGAAAACTAAAATTGTGGATAAAAAGAAGAAACCCAATTGTGCATTTAAACACATTGCCTAAAATTTACTTGCCTTCTGAATGAACATATAGCCAAAATATTTCTATTGATAGTGACTCAAATAATGTGGCAACTGCAGGTTTGGTTGAGAAGCCTACTAAAATTTCGACAATCATTGCAGATGGAAATATCTCTGCTGTGGATCATGTTTGCATGACACACATAAGAGCGGAGGGTTTGGAGGAACCATAGGCCTCGACATTTTTCGAAAATGTGAACGACAAATCTTCTTATGACTTGGGAAGCTTCACGAACAAAATATTAAGTCTCCATCTACTCGAATAACCGTTTTTTGCATTCATAATGGATACGACACCGGACATTTCAAAGATAGATCAGCTAAGCATTCTTGAGAGATATGCAGTAATAACCAGGTCGGAAAATGGACAGGCAATTAATATAGAAGTAAAAGTACTTCTATTCTTTTATTCAGARATCAAGCATGGCGCAGTAAATTTAAACAAGCATTATTTATCGACAAAAATATTGATTTAACAAAAAAAGCTATGATGTAACCAGTGAGATGAGTGGTGTGTATAATGGTGTCCACAAAACACCACAGCCTAACGCGTACATTCTGGCACTCATAATTTAAATTTTTTTCCAACGTTGCAAGATTTGTTTAACAGCATCAAACTTTGGGTTCTACTGTCCAAATTTGCGAATCGGACACCCCTCAAAAAAAAAACTAAATCCGACCAGATTGTCTAGTAGGATCGTTATTTTGATATTATCAACGAATTATCAGAAATAGCTCTAAAGAGACCTAATAAAGATGAGCATAGTGAATCAGAGAGTATTAAAACAAAAATGAAATGAAAAGTTTCGAGTTCGCGTTGCTTTGCGAATTCATGCACAGTGTATTGAACAACATATCAGTTTGGGAGAGGCGAGTAAAGTTTTAGCAGAGACCAAAGCAAAGTTACAATTTTATAGAAATGATTTCGAATTCTTCAAGTCCAAAGCCAGTGGAACTTTTTTCAAGAAAAATGGTAAAGTTAAAAAAATATTTTGATGAAGTAGCTGCTGATTACCGATTTCCAAACCGGAAGTATTTATGTACATACATCAAATTTATTATTCTTTACAACTCCTGTCACTTCTTAGCAGCTGAAAGGTCATTAGCAAATTAAAGATAATAAAAAATTATTTAAGAAATAATATGTTACAAACTCGACTCCGACATTTATGGCTAATAGCAATTGAAAACAAAACTGCATCAAGGATGGATTTAAAAAAGTCATTGTTACTTTTGCGAAAATTAAAGCTAACAAAAATTGTAAACATTGACTGCAATTTATGATGTTACTGTTTAAAATTTACATAGTGGGCATATTACCTGCCCCGCAGTGCACAAAAAAGAGCTTAAGTAGGTTACATAGCAGTGGGGCCTCATTTTTTAACCCGGCTAGCGTAATTGGTTACCTGGCTACGCCATTCTCTATGCTAACATATGTTAATTATCTACAAACAGGTAGGAAAGGGCAAAGGGTGAAGCTGAACATTTTATACTCTATGTAGTAGAAGTTCACGCAAGTGAGAAAAGTTCTCTGATTGAATTCATTTGGGAGTGGCCAGAATGACATATGGCTCGAGTAGCCCACGACTTCCRTTTGAAGGCAAACTTTCTAAGGTTGTGTGCTGGCTTTGGAACCCACCACATAGAAAACGMMCCCAATGAAAACGAAACCACAGTCTTAGAAGAAATAACMYCCTTTTGGTGACGACCATGGC